CTCAATTGACATGGGTTTGGGTGGACTCTGGGAGTTAATGATGAACAGGGAGGCCTGGCGTGCTGCAGTTCATTGGGTCGCACAGAGTCGGACACAACTGAGTGACTGAACTGAACTAAATTCTAAAAACATGTATAATTTAAAACATGTTGTTTAATGCAGCTATATATATAGAAAAGTTACTTTAATAATTGCTGTCTTGGTGAGACTTTTTTAAATGAACAAATAAAGAGGAAATTTAAAAAGATGAAAAATGGTATCATGCAACACAAGATGATAAAACTGAGAAAGTTAATATACTGTCACAATACAAGGCAAGAACTATGTTAGAAAAGATGAAGCATGTTTCATAACTAAATACTGAGCATCCAAACCATTAGAAATTAAAAAAAAAAAACCTGCATGTACTTAATACTAAAAGTTCAACAAAGGTTTGAGAAAAGTATGTAGGTTAAACAATCATAATTGGAGATTTAAACAATTACCTCTCATTGCTTATCTAGCAAGCAGATATACCAGTAAGGCTATAAACATTTTTAAACTAGACAATTAACCAACACATAGATGAACACACACACTTATATAGAAATACTCATATTTTTAATTACACTTAAATTTCCCAAAAATTCACTATATTTTCATAATCCTGATTATATTAATATGAAATATATAGAACTGTAGTGTTACTATAATAGCCTTCAGTCAAGTTTGGCAAATGGACACTTGAAATGTGAGCATTAAAATTTAATTTTTATTAGTTATAAAGAAATAAAAATTTAAGATATCTTCCTCATTCACACCAGATAATCTATATAGTATATAACATATAGTAGAGATATAGATTTCTTTCATATTCATAGAAATTCTCTACAATTTAAGCTAGAAGGCAATAAGCAAAAATGTGAAAACTTTTTTCTGGTTTTAAGTTAACTAAATAGCATACAAACCCAAGAAAACTCCACAGTGAAAATTCTGTTTTTATATGATTTAAAAGGAAAATGCAATAGCAAAATCTGTCTTCTGAAATATTGGTTGCCCTAAATGCACACATCACAAACAAAAAATAAGAAAGAATAGATTTGAGGAGGTGCCACAAGAAACTAAAAATTAAAAAGTGGTTTCAGTTCAGTTCAGTCACTCAGT